TTTAAGGCCTGGATCTCAAATTCCAGCAGGAATTGTAGGAGGAGGAGCAGCACAACAAACCCTCCCAAAAGCCCACAGAGAAACTTGAAAAGGCAGAAGGGAGGGGGCAGAGGAGGCTGGGGATGAAAAGCAGCAGAAAATACAGAAAAAAACAAATTCTTTGCTGTTTGAGGGGATCTCCCAGCCAAAGCCCCACTTTTGCCCTGTAACACTCAGCTTAATTCCCAGATTTCTCCTGGGCAGCACACACGGCTCCTGAAGGGCTGGCAGATCCTGATCTGGACAGAACTGGACTTTAAACTGAGTTTAAGGACAGGCTGGATGGGATTTGGAGCAACCTGGCCAAGTGGAAGGAGGTTAGGATCAGCCAAATTCCTTGGGATGAGTCTAAGATTTAACAAGTTTTGTTTTGTCCCGAGCCTTATCCCAGCTCAGGGAGGGACAAGTCAAGCTGGCAGATCCTGATCAGGAAAGAATTGGACTTAAACCCGAGTTTAAGGCCAGCCTGGACAGGGCTTGGAGCAAGCTGTCCTAGTGGAAGTTGTCCCTGCTGGCAAGAATTTGGGATCAGCAAAGCTTTAAGGTCCCTCCCAAGCCAAATTCCGTGGGATGAGTCTAAGATTTATCAGGATTTGTTTTGTCCCAAACCTTATTCCAGCTCAGGGAGGGACAATTCTAGGCCAGGCCTGGCCTCGGTTGAGCTGGGTCTGAGCTTCAGCCTGGTGCAGAGTTAGTTTCCATCCCCAAATCCCTGCTCCATCCCAATCCCTGCTCCATCCCAATCCCTGCTCCATCCCAATCCCTGCTCCATTCCCAATCCCTGCTCCATCCCCAAATCCTTTCTGGGATCACTTTGGGATCTCTCCCGAAGGTGCTGGAAGGAGCGGGACCTGAGCCACCCCTCTGGGTCCTGGTTTAATCCTGTGGGATCCTCTTGGGAAGGTTCCCAGTTCGTCCCCAGTGTTTGGGATTTGGGATGGGAACGGATGAGCGCAGCCTGATGGGTTGGGGGTCACTGAGTCCTCAAGGAACTTTTTCCCTCCTCATCTCCTGCTCTGCCACTGGGAAGGGTCCCAAAGGGAACAGGGAGGGGGCAGAGCTGGGGCAGGGGACCTGAGCTGGCCAAGGGACCAGGAATGTCCCCAATGCCAGGGGACAAACTGGGAGAGTCACAGGAAATGGGCCAGGAAGGGAGGGCTGGCATTGGCCAAAAACTGCATTGAGCAGCACTGGGTTTTCCCTTTTATTATTAATGTTATTATTATTATTATTATTATTATTATTATTATTATTATTATTATTACTGTATTTTACTTCATTCTCAATTATTGAACTCTCCTTATCTCAGCACACAAAGTTTTACTTTGGTTCTCTTCCCATTCCAGGGCTGGACAAGGAGCTGGGTCAGGCTTAAATTCCAGCTGGGTTTAACCCACACCATCTTGGCCCAGCTGAGCTCGGTGTTTTCTGGTGAAGTGTCACAAAATCCATCGTTGTAGGATGAAGTAATGGGAGCTGAGAATTCCCAGCTGAGCTCTTGGATTGAGGAGGAACAGCCTGAGAAAAACTGAGAGTCTCCAGCGGCTGAGCTGGGCTTAGTGGGGCTGGAAAACCAGGAATGAACAATTCCCAGGTGAAGTTTGGAAAGAGCTCCTGCAGGATCTGTGACAGAGGAGGAGCACGGCTGGGGAATAGCCTGCAGTGCCCACCCCAAATTCCCATTTTCTGTTTGGGAATGGGAACACCCCAGTGCCCACCCAAATCCTCCTTTTCTGTTTGGGAATGGGAAAGCTGCAGTGACCACCCTAAATCCTCTTTTTATCTTTGGGAATGGGAATGCCGTGGTGGCAACACCAAATCCTCGTTTTCTGTTTGGGAACAGGAATGCCACAGTGGCTACCCCAAATTCCCTTTTTCTGTCTGGGAATGGGAATGCCATGGTGGCCATCCCAAATTCCCTTTTTCTTGTTGGGAATGGGAACGCTGCAGTGGCCACCCCAAATCCTCATTTTCTCTTTGGGACTTTGGGAATGGGAACACCACGGTAGCCACTCCAAATCCCCATTTTCTCTTTGGGAATAGGAACTCTGCTGTGGCCACCCCAAATCCTCTTTTTCTCTTTGGGAATGGGAACTCTGTAGTGGCCACAAATCCCCTTTTTCCATCTGGGAATGCTGAGATGGCCACTCCAAATTCCCATTTTTTTTGTCTGGGAATGCCACAGTGGCCACCCCAAATCCTTGTTTTCTCTTTGGGAATGGGAACTCTGCAGTGCCCACCCGAAATCCCCATATTCTGTCTGGGAATGGGAACTCTGTGCTTCTCCTCCCAGATTCCAGCTGCCAGCACAGCCCCTGGATTCCAGCCTGGACACCCAGTCTGGGGTAACTGGATCAGGAGCCAAAGCTGGGAGCTCCCAGCCCCTGTCCTTGTCCAAAGTGCCAAGAAATCTCCTCCTGCTGCTGCTGAGGGGGAAACGAGAAACCAGGCCAGAGACCTCAGCCCCCAGTTTGGGTTTTCCAACCGCCTGAACTCCCCTTTCCAACCGCCTGAACTCCCCTTTCCAACCGCCTGAACTCCCCTTTCCCACCTCCTGAACGCTTTCTTTCCCACCTCTCAGATTCCTTCTTTCCCAAATTCTGAACTCCCCTTTCCCACCTCTTGGATTCTCTGTTTCCCACCTCCTGAACTCCCTCTTTCTCCCTCTGTCCCATTTCCTGAACTCCTTTTTCCCTTCTCCTGAATTCCCTCTTTCCAACTTCCTGAACTCCCCTTTCCCAATTTTTGAACTCTTTCCAACATCCCGAATTGCCTCTTTCCAACCTCCTGGATTCCCTCTTTCTCCCTCTTTCCAACCTCCTGGACTCCTCTTCCCCCGTGCAGAGAGGAACCTCAGGCACCTGAGAGGTTGGAACTGTGCTGGGATTTCTCTGGAATTTCCAGGGTAGAGCCTGACTGTGCTCAGCACAATGAATAAATCACACAGAGGCCTCCCCAAACTTCCCTAAAAGAGGACAAACCCAGGAGTTCTTCATCCCACTGGGAGCATTTCTCATCTCCTTCCACTAGGAACAGCAGAGGGCTTGGAAAGGCAGGAATTTTTGATCAGGGAATGCAAAGCAGTCAGGAAATAACCTGGGCTGGGCTCCCTGCTCACAAAGGGAACCGATGAATTTCCACACCATTATCTTGGCCCTCACATGATTAAAAGTGTCGGGAAAATGGGAATCTCCCCTTCCTGGGGGTGCAAAGCTCTCTTTTCTTCAGGCCTGCCAGATAAAGGATCCTCTCTTTCCCATACAAAGGGCTTATGGGCTCAGGGATATCTGTCCCCAGCCTGAGCCTGGGGGCAGGGGAATTCGGGATTGGGATAAGCAGGAAAAGCCACGGTCTGCTCCTTTCAAGCAGCCCCTGATTCGGTGGGACTGGCCAGGAGAGGATGAAGGGAAATGGAAATTGTGCCTGGGGCTCATCCCAGGCATCTCATCCCTGCCTTATTCCACGGGGATAAATTGCACTTGGGATCATCTGAGTTAATCCCGGGCCCTGGCCCAGCTAACCCGGGCCTGCCTTTGAATCCCAGGCTGTATCCTCTGAGCCTGAGCCCAGTGCTCTCAGAAATCCCTTGTCAGAGGGATATCTGCCTATTCCCCCCCAGTGTCCCTGTTTGGAGCAATATCCAGCCCTGTGCCAGTCACATTTCAGCATTTTCCCATTTACTCCCATCCCAGTCACATTTCAATATTTTCCCATCCAACTCCATTCCAGTCATATTTCAGTATTTTCCTATCCAGCTCCATGCCAGCCAATATTTCAATATTTTCCCATCCAGCCCAGTCACACTTCAGTATTTTCGCATTCTGCCTTGTGCCAGTCAATATTTCAATATTTTTCCGCCCAGCCACATTTCAATATTTTCCCATTCAGCCCCATCCCAGTCAATATTTCAATATTTTCCCATCCAACTCAGTCACATTTCAATATTTTCCCATTCTGCCTTGTGCCAGTCAACATTTCAATATTTTCCCATCCAGCTCCATGCCAGTCAATATTTCAGTATTTTCCCACTCTGCCTCATTCCAGTCACATTTTAACACTTTCTCATTCAAAGCCAAGAGTGGGGGGTTTGCACCATTCCAGAGAAGTTGCAGAATTCCCTCTTTCCACTGACAAACTGTTTTCACCATGGAGAGATCCCCAAAGCGCTGCAGCTTTTCCATTTCAGGTGCCCCCCTCATTTCTCTTTCTAGTTCCAAATTATTTTGGTTTCTCGTCCTAAATGAACAGATGCCTCTGAAACAACCACTGCCCTTCACACAACTCCACATCACACGAGTGACTGAGAGTGGAAAAAACGGGATTTGGTGTCCCTCAGGATAAGGACAAATCCTGGCTGCTCATTTTCAGTTCCACCTGGAAGCAAAGGTGAGCTTGGGAACTCCTTTCCTCCTGCAGAGCTCACCCTGTGCAAAGCATCAGCAGGATTGTCTGCACGAGCTGCCCAAACTTAAACCCCAAATCTCCATCTCTGGGCTCAGTTCTGTGACTTTAACCCCAAATCTCCACATCTGGGCTCAGATCTGTGGTCCAGCCAGACCTGGACAAACTCCAGGTCGTGCCTAAATCAGCCAGCCAGGATGAATGGTGGGGTCAGCCAGGTGTGGGGCCAGCCAGGTGTGGGGTCAGCCAGGTGTGGGGCCAGCCAGGTGTGCTGTCCTTGGGATCAAGGAGCTCTGGAATAGTTTTGGGAGATGCTCCAGGTGTCGGTGACCCCTCACCCCAACCTGGCCGTGGGAATGACCAGTCCTAGGCTCAGGACAGAGCTGCTGCTCGTTAACAAACGAACTAATTACTCTCAACAACTCAACCACGACAACAACAACCACAACCACCCGCAGAGCCCCCAGCGCTCCGCGGTGCCAGCTCTCCGCGGTGTCCCCGCGGTGTCCCCGCGGTGTCCCCGCTCCCGGAGCCCGCACCAGGTGAGGACGGTGCCGTACCTGAGGGGAGAGGCCGTTGCTGACGGGGTTCATGTGGTTGGCGGGGGCTGCGGCGTTCATGAAGCTCTCGGAGTAGCTGGAGAAGCTGTGCCGGGCGCCGTAGGCAGAGCCGGAGTCGGCGGCGGCGGCGAGGCCGCCCTGGTGCATGGTGGAGGGCGGCAGCGGCTGCGGCCGGTGCACGGTGCTGCTGCCGTCTGCGGGGACACAGGGACACCGACGGGCTGGGAAACCCCCGGCAGAAACAGGAACCCCGCGGGAATCCCAGAGGAAATCCAGGAAACCTCCGAGAAACCTCCAGGAAACCCCCAGGAAATCCCTGGGAAACCGAGGAAACGTCCGAGAAACCCCCAGGAAATCCTATGGAAACCCCATGTAAACCTCAGAGAAATCCCATGGAAAACCCCTAGGGAACCCCCAAGAAACTCTCAGGAAACCCGATGGAAACCCCCAGGAAAGCCCAGGAAACTCCATGGAAACCTCTGGGAAAATCCAGGAAACCCCCATGGAAACTCCACTGAACCCCCATGGAACCCTTGGGAAAACCAGGAAACTCTATGGAAATTCCCAGGAAACCCCTGGGAAACTCCCAGGAAACCCCTGGGAAACCTCAGGAAACCCCTGGGAAACCCTCAGGGAATCCTATGGAAACCCCATGGAAACCCCATGGAAACCCCATGGAAACCCCATGGAAATCAGGAATGGCAGCTTGGCCATCCCAGGACCCAGCAGCTGTGCACTTTTTTGGGGGAAATGTCTGGGTTTGGGGGAAATGTCTGGGTTTTCACTTGGTTGTACCCCCGAAGAGAACCCACGAATTCCTTGGTAAAGGTCAAAGGCAGCTGGAATTAATTATTCCTTCCATTGGAATATTCCTGCTGCTGAACCCCAGAAGTAAGTGAGGGACCCCCCACACAACCCCCAATTCACTGGGACGTGGCTCTTGTTCAAAACTGCAGCCAGGGGACACCGGGACACAGCAGAAGGGATTGGGATAGAGGAGAAAATGGAGACATTTTCAGGGAAAAACCCAGATTTTCCCAGCTAAAGGAAAACCACGTGAGACTCCCAACTGTCCCATCCACGGGCAGGATGTCACACTCCAGAACCAGTGACAGAATCATTGCATGTTTTGAGGAGGAATCCAAACCCAGCCCAGGGTGCTCCAGCATGGCCCAGCAAGAGAATCACAGGATGGTTTGGGGGGAAATCCAAGCCCAGCCCAAAATACTCCAGCACAGCCCAGTGAGAGAATCAAGGGATGGTTTGGGAGGGAAACCAAACTCCAAGCCCAGCCTGGGATGCCCCAGCACGGCTCAGAAAGAGAATCACGGGATGGTTTGGGGGGAAATCCAAGCCCAGCCCAAAATACTCCAGCATGGCCCAGTGAGATAATCAAGGGATGGTTTGGGACAATCATCCAGGGCCAGCCTGAGATGCTCCAACATGGCCCAGTGAGAGCATGATGGGATGGTTTGGGAAAGAATCCAAGCCTTCCAAACCTGGAGTGCTCCAGCACGGCCCAGTGAGAGAATCACAGAATGACTGAGGAGGGAATCTAAGCTCCAAGGCCAGCCTGGGATGCTCCAGCACAGCCCAGCGAGAGAATTATGGGATGGTTTGGGAGGGACCTCCAAGGCCAGGCTGCTCCAGTATGGCCCAGTGAGAGAATAATGGAATAGTTTGGGAAGAAATCCAAGGCCAGCCCAAAATACTCCAGCATGGCCCAGAGAGAGAATCAAGGGATGGTTTGGGGGGAAATCCAAGCCTGGTGCAGGGAAGGTGGGAGGGAAGCAGGGGCTCACCTTGGGAGATGGTGGTGCTGGGGTAGGAGGAGTCTGGCAGCTGGTACGGGGGCAGGGCTGGCATGCCCGCGGGAGGGAAGCCCCCTGGCAGGAGGTGGTTGAAGGCTGCCAGCTGGTTGGCACCGGCCTGCTTGCGCCAGCGCGCCCTCCGGTTGCTGAACCACACCTGGGGGGACAGAAAACACCTTGAGGTGACACCTGGGGAGACAGAAAACACCTTGAGGTGACACCTGAGCGATGGCTGTTACACTGGGGGGACAGAAAACACCTGGGATGACACCTGAGCGATGGCTGTTACACTGGGGGGACAGAAAACACCTGGGATGACACCTGAGCGATGGCTGTTACACTGGGGGGATAGAAAACACCTGGGGTGACACCTGGGTGATGACTGTCACACCTGGGGGGACAGAAAACACCTGGGGTGACACCTGGCGGCACAGGAAACACCCAGGGGTGACACCTGAGCTCTGCCCACCACACCTGACAGCAACACCTTCTGGCCAAAGCCAAAGTCAGAGCCAAAGCCAGGCTTAAGCCGCTCCTGGACGCAGCCCTGGGCTGTGCTGGCCAATCCTCCCCTCCGCTCCTCCCTTCCCTTCTCCCCGCTGGCCCCGCAGCCCGGGCGGGACTGGGAGCCGGGAGATGCCGCTCCGGGCTGGGGGGTGGAGGGGTTGTTATTCAGGGATTGTTATCCCGGGGTTTGTTTATCCCGGGGTTTGTTATTCCGGGGTTTGGGTATTCCGGGGTTTGGGTATTCCGGGGTTCGTGTATCCCGGGGTTTTTATCCCGGGGTTTGGGTGTCCCGGGGTTTGGATATTCCGGGGTTTGTTATCCCGGGGTTCCTTTATCCCGAGGTTTGGCTATCCCGGGGTTTGTTATCCCGTGGCAGCCCCGGAGATGCCCCGGTACGGCCCGGCCGTGCCTCGTTATTGTCAATTCCTCTCGCGGATTTCTCTCCGTATGAGCGGCGCAGTCGGGAGGGATCAGTGGCCGGATCAGCGCCGTGCCGCCCGTGTTGGGCCAGCCCAGCAGCCGGAACCGCCCCGCGGGGAGCTCGGGGCTCAGCTCCCCCTCCTGAGCCCAGCCCTGCCTGCACCAACTGCTCTGCCTTAAATAAACCCGGCCTAAACGCCGGGGCAAAGCTGGGCTCGGCTCTGCTGCAGCGCTGCTCCGCCCGCCAGGCTCCAGAGGTTTCCTAAACGTGTGCGGTGTGTCTGGCGGGGGGAAATCTCATTTCTGGGGCTGCCCACGTTTTTTATTGAGGGCAAACTCCCTTTTACAGGGCAAAAAGGGCTGCTCAAGCTTTTTATTGGGGGGGGGGAGCGAATTCTCCTTTCTGCAGGGTAAAAAGGGCTGCCCATGTGTTTTATCGGGGGAGATCTCATTTCTGGGACTGCCCACGTGTTTTATCGGGGGAAATTTTCCTTTTACAGGGTAAAAAGGGCTGCCCACGTATTTTCTTTCCCACATGATTTCTTTCAGGGGAAATCTCCTTTCTGGGGCTGCCCATGTGTTTTATTGAGGGAAATTTCCCGTTTACAGGGTAAGAAGGGCTGCCCACATGTTTTAATGGGGGAAATCTCATTTCTGGGGGGCTGCCCACGTGTTTTATCGGGGGAAGTCTCCTTTCTGGGGCTGCCCACGTATTTCAATTGGGGCAATTTGCCTTTTACAGGGTAAAAAGCCCTACCCAAGCCCTGCCCAAGTGTCCCGGGCTGGGAGGGCTCTCAGGCCTGGCTCTGGTTGGGGTTCACAAGGATAAACTTTCAAGCCAGATGAGAACGCAGCTGCTGGGCTTTGGGAGGCCTCAAGAGCTGCAAAACACGATTGAATTTCACAGCAGTGAGAAAAAACGGAGCAAAAATCAGGAGTGGGGGGAACCCCCCCCTCCATCAGGTTCCCAAAGCTGCTCAGCCTCGGATCAGGAGCTGGGATTACAAAAGGGTTCCCACACCTTGGGGGCCAACCCCAAATTCCTTCCCCAAATCCCACAGAACCAACCCCAAACTCCCTTCCCAAATCCTGCTGAAAAATCCCCAAACTCCCTCCCCAAATGCCACAGAACCAACTCCAAACTCCTTCCCCAAATCCTACTGAAAAAATCCAGACTCCCTTCCCCAAATCCTGCAGAACCAACTCCAAACTCCCTTCCCAAATCCTACTGAAAAAAACTCCAAACTCTCTTCCCCAAATCCCACAGAACCAATCCCAAACTCTCTTCCCCAAATCCCACAGAACCAACTCCAAATTCTCTTCCCAAATCCCACAGAACCGTGGTCTCACAAGCCCCAAACAGGATCCAAATCCCAAAGTGGGCACCTTTCTCTCGAGTTCCCTATAAATGATTCCTCATTCCTGGATCTTTTTCTCACTGGAAAATGCAATTTTCACTCAGGGAGTTCTGGCTCCTGTTCCTGCCTGCTGGGAAGAGTCCCCTGAGCTTTCCCTTGGGGCTGGTTTGGGGTTCCCTGTCTCTATTCCCCGTTTCCTGGGGCTGTTTTGGGGTTCCCTGGCTCCGTTCCCATTTCCTGGGGCTGTTTTGGGGTTCACTGACTCTGTTCCCCGTTTCCTGGGGCTGTTTTGGGGTTCCCTGGCTCCGTTCCCATTTCCTGGGGCTGTTTTGGGGTTCACTGACTCTGTTCCCCGTTTCCTGAGGCTGTTTTGGGGTTCCCTGGCTCCGTTCCCATTTCCTGGGGCTGTTTTGGGGTTCCCTGACTCTGTTCCCCGTTTCCTGAGTTTGTTTTGGGGTTCCCTGGCTCTGTTCCCATTTCCTGGGGTTGTTTTTGGGGTTCCCTGGCTCTGTTCCCGTTTCCTGGGGCTGGTCTCAGTTTCTCTCTGGTTTTGGCACACTGAGAACAGGAAAGCCCCGGCTCCCCTCGGTGTCAGTGCCAGCCCCGAGTGGTTTGTGGGGCCCTGGCAGGTCCTTGGCACCCAAGCCCTCCTCGCCCAGCGCTGCCCAGCCCCTCAGCAGGGTGACAGAAATGGGTCACTCACACCCCGTGTGCTCCTGGCACCCAAATCTGGGACAGAGCGAGGGGAGAGCTGTGAATGAACCCCAAGACACTTTGCAATTTATCCAGCCCAGTCCCTGGAAGGTTCTGGGAGCAGCACAAAGGAATAAAGAAATCACCTAAATTACATTTTGGTCATGCAAGGGGATATAAAGATATTAAAGAAATCACCTAAATTACATTTTGGTTATGCAAAGAGGATCCCCTGTCCCTTTTTATTTTTTTTTAGTCCTGCATGGGTGCACAATTCCAGTCTGGAATTGGGGCTGTGGATGTGCTCTGCCCCTGTCCTGTCACTCCCTTCCACTTCCACACCTTGAGTATTCCTGGTACTTAGGGAGAGAAATAAACCTTGGCTTTGTGGAGGAGAAGGAGAGAAATAAAACTTGTCTTTGCAGAGGGAAAGGAGAGAAAGAAATCTCCTTGAAGAGGAAAAGAGAGGAATAAACCTCCCTGCAGAGGAAGAGGAGAGAAAGAAATGTTCTCTTTACAGAGGAAAAGGAGGGAGATAAACGTTTATTTGCAGTGGAAAAGGAGAGGAATAAACCTTTATTTGCAGAGAAAAAGAAAGAAACCTTTCTCTGCAGAGAAAAAGGAGAGAAAGAAACTTCCCTGTAGAGGAAAAGAGCGGAATAAACCTTTCTTTGCAGAGGAAGAAGAGAGAAAGAAATGTTCTCCTTGCAGAGAGAGAAATAAACTTCGTTTTTTCAGAAGAAAAGGAGAGAAAGAAATCTCCTTGAAGAGGAAAAGGAGAGAAATGTTCTCTTTGCAGAGGAAAAGGAGAGGAATAAGCCTCCTTGCAGAGAAAAAGATAAATAACCCTTGTCTTTGCAGAGGAGAAGCAGAGATTTAAATCTTCTCCTTGCAGAGGGAAATGAGAGGAATAAACCTTGTCTTTAGAGAGGAAAATGAGAGAAAAAAACCTCTCTGAAGAGGAAAAGAGAGAAATAAACCTCGTCTTTACAGAGGAGAAGGAGAGATTTAAATCTTCCCCTTGCAGAGGAAAAGAACAGGAATAAACCTTTCTCTGCAGAGGAAAAGGAGAGAAATCTTCTCTTTGCAGAGGAAAAGGAGAGAAAGAAACTTCCCTGAAGAGGAAAAGAGGGGAATAAACCTTCCTTTGCAGAGGAAAAAGAGAGAAAGAAATGTTCTCCTTGCAGAGAAAGAGAGAGAAATAAACTTTGTCTTTGCAGAGGAGAAGGAGAGATTTAAACCTTCCCCTTGCAGAGGAAAACGAGAGAAAGAAATCTCCTTGAATAGGAGAAGGAGAGGAATAAACCTTTCTCTGCAGGGCTGGAAGAACTCCCACTCCAAAAAGATCAAGATCCCAGTGCAAAGAACAGCACATAAAAATCCAACACCAACAAAACCATCACCAAGATCCAAACCCAGGCATCGAGAGGGAAAGAGAAACAGAACCCCAGGAGTGCAAAAGCCACCCCAGAGATTTCTGACTTTCCCAAGGCTGGGAAAGTTTTGTTGGTTTTTTTTTTCCCCCAACCAAGATCCAGATGCTGCAAACGCAGTGGGGACGAGGAGCTCCGGGAGAAGATGGGGAGTGAGATGTTCTAGGATGGGACAGGAGCGCTTGGGGTCTCGCTCATGTGATCAGAACACAACTCAGAACAGATTTGTGCCGTTTCATGCCCCGTGTGAGGTGGTTTTGGTCTCATTTACACTTTAAATCTGTTCAGGATTAAAATCCACCTGTGTGAGAGCGGCACCTCCCGTCCTGCTTCCCACAGCCCGTGGAATTCCTTTGTTTTACAGGGAGATAAAAGGATACTCTGGATCCTTTTACAGCCAGGTACAGTCACCCTGGGGATGAGCCTTTTTGGTGTGCAGTGTTTGAGAAGAAAGGGAAGATAAACTCCAAGGGAGAGGATTATCAGCAAAGAAATCCAGTTCCTAATTACGCTCCTCCTGTGACTCCGGGAAAACTGTTGCTTTTGGGATTGAAGTCAAAACCCATCTGAGTCCTCACACAGCCCGTGCACGGGGTTAAACTGAGGATAAACCCCCCATTTTTCACATTTTGGGCGATTTCCACACTCAGCCAGCTGAGATTGAGGCTCTTGCACTGCTGACGGTGCCGGAGCCAGAGCGAGATCTCGGCGTTTGTTGTGATGCCGTGGGTTTTAGCTTTTGTATT